ATTAGTCTGATTAGACTCATTCTAGTCATTAGTCTCATTAGACTCAGACTCATTAGTCTCATTAGACTCATTCTCATTAGTCTCATTAGACTCATTCTCATTAGTCTCATTAGACTCATTCTAGTCATTAGTCTCATTAGACTCAGACTCATTAGTCTCAGACTCATTTTAGTCATTAGTCTCATTAGACTCAGTCTCATTAGTCGCATTCTCATTAGTCTCATTAGACTCATTCTAGTCATTAGTCTCATTAGTCTCAGACTCATTCTAGTCATTAGTCTCATTAGTCTGATTAGACTCATTCTAGTCATTAGTCTCATTAGACTCAGTCTCATTAGTCTGATTAGACTCATTCTAGTGATTAGTCTCATTAGACTCAGACTCATTAGTCTGATTAGACTCATTCTAGTGATTAGTCTCATTAGACTCAGACTCATTAGTCTGATTAGACTCATTCTAGTCATTAGTCTCATTAGACTCAGTCTCATTAGTCTCATTAGACTCATTCTAGTCATTAGTCTTATTAGACTCAGTCTCATTAGTCTCATTAGACTCATTCTAGTCATTAGTCTCAGACTCATTCTAGTCATTAGTCTCATTAGACTCAGTCTCATTAGTCTCATTAGACTCATTCTAGTCATTAGTCTCATTAGACTCAGACTCAGTCTGATTAGACTCATTCTAGTCATTAGTCTCATTAGACTCAGACTCATTAGTCTGATTAGACTCATTCTAGTCATTAGTCTCATTAGACTCAGACTCATTAGTCTCATTAGACTCATTCTAGTCAGTCTCATTAGACTCAGACTCATTAGTCTGATTAGACTCATTCTAGTCATTAGTCTCATTAGACTCAGTCTCATTAGTCTGATTAGACTCATTCTAGTCATTAGTCTCATTAGACTCGGACTCATTAGTCTGATTAGACTCATTCTAGTCATTAGTCTCATTAGACTCAGACTCATTAGTCTCAGACTCATTCTAGTCATTAGTCTCATTAGACTCAGACTCATTAGTCTCAGACTCATTCTAGTCATTAGTCTCATTAGACTCAGTCTCATTCGTCTCAGACTCATTCTAGTCATTAGTCTCATTAGACTCAGTCTCATTAGTCTCAGACTCATTCTAGTCATCAGTCCAGACTCATCAGACTCATTAGTATCATAAGACTCATTAGTCTGATTAGACTCATTATACTTCTGTAGCTGATTACATTTGAATCAGATCAGATGGATCAATAGATGTTGATTGATCCCACACTGGTGAGTGATTGTGTAACAGCAGGTTATCCAGTAGATCCAGTAGATCCAGTAGATCCATAGATAGCAGTAAATCCATCCAGTAAATATAGATATTAACACTAGAAATATACTTCTTTAGAATACACAATGTATAGAGTAAGAGTATATTAGAATACTACTACTACTATACTAGGATATGAATCATAAACATAATAAAACATCATTTATACAACTAGAAAAGGTGAAGTGAAGCTTTTGTTGCATAAAGGAAAGTAGTTTCTGTTTGGTGCCACTAGATGGAGCCAGAGACCTCTGAGGGAGCGGATCACTTTCTATTGGTCACCTGGGCACACAAACGCGTTTAAAACCTGAATATTAATAATCCCATCATGGCTCTAAAAATGATGAGCTGCAGGTTTAACTGTCCTGCAGGAGGGAAGCAGCAGGAGAGGAAGAACTACACTACAGTTATTATTTAATGCAGAAACATTAAGGTATCAAACACGTATTACTACTTTACAGTTAAATATTTAACCTTTATTACAACATGAAAAAAACAGAAAATAACACTTTGATAAACACGTCAGGACATCTTATTATAGTCTCATTATAATATAATAATATATATATCATATAATAATATATATAATATATATATATATCATATAATAATATATATATCATATAATAATATATGTCATATAATAATATATATATCATATAATATATATCATGTAATATATATATATATCATATATTATATATATATATAATAATATATATCATATAATAATATATATATCATATAATAATATATATATCATATAATAATATATATATATCATATAATATTCTGTATAATATAATAATATATATATATGGGTCATTGACAAATAAGGCTTCTAAAAAGGTAATTTTAAAAATTATCTTCAAAATGTATGTAATGCTTATTTTTGTGTCTGGAAAAATGTGAAACAAGTCTAATTTGTGAACCAACTTTTCATAGTATTTTAAATAGTTAACAGTATTTTTTAACTTCACAGGCTAAAAAATGTCAGGTGGCGCAACCACATATTTATAAAAATATATATATTTTCCTAATATTTATTCAAACTGAAATTTCTGACAAGTATCCCTTAGAGTGCCTACTGTGTCTAACACATCGTATTTTGTGGTTGTGTTTTATATATATACAATAATTTATCATAATTGCGTTCTCTTGGCAGGTATTTAGTATATTTAACATTTGATTTTACATTTAAACAGAGAAACATAATAATACAAATATTCAAATGAATACATTCAATACAATAGTTCTTCACATCATATCAAGCAAAAAAAATTCACTTTAACCTATTATTTATTGCTTTAAATTAATATTGTACCTGGTCGCACCACCATGACATTTATCAGTTGTGCCACCTGACAATATTAGTAATCACAGCAAATATGCAGACAATTTGCATTTTTTTTTTTCAAATACAACAACATGCTTTTAGTCAACAGACTCTTTTTAAGTAAAAGAAGTAAATATTTCATAGTAATCATGTTTAGCACATAACTGGAACAGGCAAAATCACAGTCGCTTCCTGCGTGTTGCAGCTTCTACCTCATTGTAGCAGCGCTTTGCACACACTCCATACAGGACTTGTTGTCTGCTCCCTGCGTCCTGCTGGTTTTGCTTTACTTCACAGTGGCATCCTTAATAGTTAAACAATATTCATTAATATCATGAAAAATAGTTTGAAAGTGTATAATATAGTTAACTTAACACTGTTAAACTTTAGAATTCTTTTAAATATAATATCATGTGACATTCTCTGCAGTTGCACCACCTGCCTTACTGGTTGCACCACCTGACATTTGCAACTGATTTCAAATGAAACAGGCATCTACTAGGACACTAGCATTAGCTTTTGTTCTTGCTAACAACTTCACACATATACATTTTAAATAGAATAAAGACATTTATGATAAAATAACATTGTTATAGTTTTGCATTGGTTGTACCGCCCTGACATGGAAAGTGAACCACTCTACCTATAAGTTGAAAGTAGCTGTTTTAATCAATATTCAAAAGAGATATAAAAACATTTTCACTCTGCTATAAAGGTCAGTTGAGGTCCTCTTGATGATGCAATAACCTGTTTACTGTTTTCCACTTTCATTTCATAATAAAAGTCCCATCTTTACAGCTGTGCCACCCTGATATTTGAGAACATTCAAATTGCTGGACAAAAGTTTTTTAATTATCGCAACAGCTTAAAACTATTGGTATTTGTAAAAATTTGGTTTATTTGAATCGTTACAACAATAAAAGCATGCCATAGTATTTTATTTTGAATTTATTATCATTTAAATACATTTTTTAACAGTTTTCTTAGACTGTTCATCTGCTAGGACAGGTGCACCGCCTGACATTTACAGGGTTTGAGATGCCAAAACATAAAATAATATATATTATTTGATTGTACTGAAAATGTATCAAAACTAGATAGGTTTTATAGAATGAAATGATATATGTCATGAATTAATACAATTATTTTAAAAGGAAATAGTGGACTCGGACACAAAAATACGCATGTCATGTCATTGACCCATATATCTCTGTCACAGAGAAAAATAAATCCTGGAGACGATCTGGTTCTAACGACACGACTCACACAGGGGAGGTGTGTGTGTGTGTGTGTGTGTGTGTGTGTGCGCGTGTGTGTGTCTGTTGGGGATATCAGTGCAGTGACACACTTATTATCTGCTGTACAGTACGAACTGACACACAGAGAACTCAACTCCCCAGAGTGGCTCATCTGCACTGACATATGGACACAGACACACACACACACACACACACACACACACACACACACACACACACACACACACACACACACACACACACACTCATCCTCACCCTGGTTCATAATCTGCTCAGAGACTCACAGCAGAGCTCCAACATAATCCAGTGGGACTAATGTCTGTCACTGCAGCGCGTCGTCCCGTTTGAGAAAGCTTTATTGACACAGCGTGGACAGA